CAGCGCGGCCAGCACCAGGAAGGCCAGCATGATCGCCACCGGGAACACGATGAACGCCGCCTTGCCCTGGGTCGCCTGCTGGTAGCTCAGGTCGGTCCATTCGGTGGTCATGCCCACCGGCAGTACCTTGCCCGCAATCTCGGTCAGCTTGTTCATCGCCTCGGCCGACGACAGCAGGCGCGGGTCGGCTTCACCGGCCAGGTCCGCTGCCGGATAGCCATTGAAGCGCAGCACCGGGTCCGGGCCGAAGGTCTGCTTGATGGTGACCATCGAACCGATCGGCACCATCTCGCCACGGTCGTTGCGGGTACGCAGCTTGCCGATGTCCTCGACCGTCTCGCGGAACGGACCGTCGGCCTGCGCGATCACCTGCCAGGTACGACCGAACTGGTTGAAGTCGTTGACATAGGCCGAACCCAGGTAGGTCTGCAGGGTGTCGAACAGCTCGGTGAGCTGCACGCCCTGCGCCTTGGCCTTGACGCGGTCCACTTCCGCATCCAGCTGCGGCACGTTGGCCTGGTAGCTGGAAATCGGGAAGGCCATGCCCGGGGTCTGCGCAACGGTGCCCTGCATCGCTTGCACGGCATTCTGCAATGCGCCGTAACCCAGGTTGCCGCGGTCCTCGATGAACATCTGGTAGCCGTTGCCGTTGCCCAGGCCGAGGATCGGCGGCGGCATCATCGCGAACGCGAAGCCTTCCTGCAGGCCGGCGATCTTCTGGTTGATCTCGGCATTGATCTGCGCAGCGGTACGGCCATGACGCTCGGCGAACGGCTTGAGCGGAATGAACGCCACACCGGTGTTCGGCGTGTTGGTGAACTGCAGCGCGTTCAGGCCCGGGAACGAAATGGTGTGGGCCACGCCGTCGGTTTCCTGGGCGATCTTGGCGACCTTGCGCAGCATTTCATCGGTACGCGCGATCGACGAGCCTTCCGGCAGCTTCACACCGGCGATCAGGTACAGCTTGTCCTGGGTCGGGATGAAGCCCGGCGGCACCAGCTTGAAGATCACGCCGGTACCGACCAGCAGGATCGCGTAGACCACGAACACCGCGCCACGACGGCCGAGGATGCGGGCCACGCCACGCTCGTACTTCTCCGAGCTGGACTTGAAGAAGCGGTTGAACGGACGGAACACCCAGCCGAACAGGCGGTCGATCAGGCGGCTCGGGCCGTCCTTCGGCGCGCCGTGGGCCTTCAGAAGGCGCGCGGCCAGCGCCGGCGACAGGGTCAGCGAGTTGATCGCCGAGATCACCGTGGAGATGGCGATGGTGACCGCGAACTGCTTGTAGAACTGGCCGGTGACACCGGACAGGAAGGCCATCGGCACGAACACGGCACACAGCACCAGCGCGATCGCCACGATCGGGCCGGACACTTCACGCATGGCCTGGTGGGCCGCCGCAGTGGGCGACAGGCCTTCTTCGATGTTGCGCTCGACGTTCTCCACCACCACGATCGCGTCGTCGACCACGATGCCGATCGCCAGCACCAGCCCGAACAGGCTCAGCGTGTTGATCGAGAAGCCCAGCAGGTACAGCGCAGCGAAGGTGCCGACCACCGACACCGGCACCGCGATCAACGGGATGATCGAGGCACGCCAGGTCTGCAGGAACAGGATCACCACCAGCACCACCAACGCGATGGCTTCCAGCAGCGTGGAAACCACGGCCTTGATCGAGTCGCGCACGAAAATGGTGGTGTCGTACACCGCTTCGTACTTCACGTCGGCCGGCATGGTCTTCTGCATCTCGTCCATCGTCGAGATGACCTGGTCACGGATCTCCAGTGCATTGGCACCCGGCGACTGGAAGATACCGATACCGACCGCGTTCTTGCCGTCCAGCTGCGAGCGCAGCGTGTAGTCGCCAGCACCCAGTTCCAGGCGGGCCACGTCGGCCAGGCGCACGATCTCGCCATCGACGCCGCTCTTGAGCACGATGTCGCCGAATTCCTTTTCGGTCTTCAGCCGGCCCTGGGCGTTGATCAGGGTCAGGAACTGGCTGTTCGGCAGCGGTTCGGCGCCGAGCTGGCCGGCCGAGACCTGCACGTTCTGCTCGCGCATGGCGCGCACCACGTCGCTGGCGGTCAGGCCGCGCGAAGCCACCTTGTCCGGGTCCAGCCAGGCGCGCATGGCGTAATCGCCGCCACCGAAGATCTGTGCGTCACCCACGCCCGGAATACGCGCCAGCGCATCCTTGACGTGCAGGCGTGCGTAGTTGCGCAGGTACAGGGTGTCGTACTTGCCTTGCGGCGAGGTCAGGTGCACCACCATCAGGAAGGTCGGCGACTGCTTCTGCGTGGTCACGCCCTGCCGGCGCACGTCCTCGGGCAGGCGCGCCTGCGCCTGCGCCACGCGGTTCTGCACCTTCACCGCCGCCGCGTCCGGGTCGGTGCCCGGGCGGAAGGTGACGGTCATCTGCAGCACGCCATCGGAGCCGGCGACCGACTTCAGGTACATCATGCCTTCGACGCCGTTGATCGCCTCTTCAAGCGGCGTGGCGACGGTCTCGGCAATGACCTTGGGGTTGGCGCCCGGATACACCGTGCGCACCACCACCGACGGCGGCACCACTTCGGGGTACTCGCTGATCGGCAGGATCGGAATCGTGATCAGGCCTGCGGCGAAGATCACGATCGACAGCACCGCCGCGAAGATCGGCCTGTCGATGAAGAAACGGGAAAAGTCCATGGAGGAATTCCTGGGAAATGCCGTCGGCGGGCAACAGCCGCCCTGCCCCTCGCCGATATGACGAAGGCAGGGAAGGCTGCCGCTGGCGCCGGCAGCTAAGCGGAAACGCGAATCAGGAGACGGCGGATCAGTGGTTCAGTGCGGCGGTGGCGTCGCGGCCCGGTGCCGGCGCGGCCTGTGGCTGCATCGCCACGGCCTTGGCCTGCACCGGCATGCCCGGCATGAACACCTTCTGCACGCCGTCGATGATCACCTTGTCACCGGCAGCCAGCCCGTGCTCGACGATGCGCAGGCCTTCGGCGGTACGGCCGAGCTGGATGTCGCGGCGCTGCGCCTTGCCATCCTTGTCGACCACGTAGACGTACTTGCGGTCCTGGTCGGTCAGCACGGCCTTGTCATCGATCAGCATGGCCTGGAACTGGCCGCTGCCGAGCAGCTGCACGCGGGCGAACAGGCCCGGCGTGAACTGGCGGTCGGCATTGTCCAGCAGCGCACGGACGCGGATGGTGCCGGTGCTGCGGGCCACCTGGTTGTCGAGGAAGTCGACCTTGCCCGAATGCGGGTAGCCCTCTTCACCGGACAGGCCGACCTTCACCGGCAGATCGCTGTCGCGCTCGCTCGGGCGCTCGCCCTTGCGTGCCATCTGTGCGTAACGCAGGAAGGTGCTTTCGTCGGCATCGAAGTAGACGAACACGGTATCCAGCGAGACCAGCGTGGTCAGTACGCTGGCGCTGTCGCCGGCGGTGACCAGGTTGCCGGCGGTGACCATCGCGCGGCCGGCACGGCCGTCGATCGGGGCACGCACCTTGGTGAACTCCAGGTTGAGGCGGGCCGCGTCCAGCGCAGCCTGCGCCGCCTGCACGGCCGCACCGGACTGGTCGGCGGCAGCGCGACGCTGCTCGGCGGTCTCGGTGGAGATCGCCTGCTGCTCGGACAACCGCTTGGCACGCTCGGACTCGCTGCGGGCCAGCGTGGCCTGGGTGCGGGCGCGGGCCAGTTCGGCGGCGGCACGATCGTACTCGGCCTGGTAACTGCGTGCGTCGATGGTGAAGAGCACTTCGCCCTTCTTCACTTCCTGGCCTTCGACATAGTTGACCTTGTCGATGTAGCCGGACACGCGCGGGCGCAGTTCAACGCTCTGCACCGCTTCGACGCGGCCGCTGAACTCGTCCCACTGGCTGACCTGCTTGACCAGCACCGGCGCGGCGCTGACCTGCGGCGGCGGCGGCGCACCGGCTTCTTCGGCATGGCCGCCGCTGCAGGCTGCAAGCACGGCCGCGGCGAGGATCGACACGCCGGCCATCGCGATGCGATGGCCGAAACGATGTGGGGTGGTATTGGGGGAAGTCATGGCATGCATCCGTACGGAGGGGTGGTACAGCTATATGAAAAGGTGTTGCGAAAATCGGCGGCGCATACTGCGACCTCAACCTTGGTCGAGGTCAAGCGACGCCTGCGGTATCGCGCCAGAGCGGGGGTACTTCCAGGTGCAGCAGGCCGCGCGGCAGTTCGGCATCGCTGCTGTCGCAACGGACGATGGCGCGGTTGTCGCGGCAACCATCGAGCAGCGAGACCACGCGACGGCCGACCAGCAGCGAGCTGGGCCACTCGATGCAGGCGTTGGCCGCGTTGGCCGGGGTACAGACCGGGCTGCAGACTTCCAGCATCTGCGCACGCACGCCCAGCGCCTGCGCTTCCTGATGCACCACCTGCGCGTACATGCGCAGCGCGGCGGTGGTGATCGAGGTCTCGCCGTAACCCGCCCACGGCTTGGCATTGGCCGGGCTGCCGATCATCACGTAGCGGCGCGCGTGCACGTTGTCCTGCAGCAGCGGCAGCAGGTGGCGAACCGCATGCACGTGCGGCATCAGGTCGGCCTGCATCGCGCCCATCAGCTCGTCACCGTTAGTACTCTGCGTTGATACCACTGCTTAGGGACCGCCCATTGCGGCGATCACCGCTGCCAACGGACGCGGACGCTGCGCGATACGCTCGGCCAGCGCCCGTGCCGAGCCGTCATCACTGAGCGAACCCAGCAGCGTTTCCAGGCCCGGCTCATCGGCGAACTGTTCGTGCAGTGCCGCCAGCCGGCCCGGATCGCGACCGACCACCAGCACCGGGCTGCCGGCTTCCAGCAATGCACCGACCACGCCCTGGCCCACGGCGCCGGTGCCGCCGAGGACCAGGACTTCGGGCGTCAGCATCCCATTCACGGGACATTTCCTCCCAAATCCGGGATAGTCCCAATTCGCCGCAGCCGGTCCCCCTTGTGCGGGGCCAGGCGGATGACGCCGCCACGCTGCTGACGCATGGGCGCGGTAAACTCCCGGAAATCCTTGTGCACCAAGGAACTCGGACGGGCTTCACGGTCATCGCCAGGTCCAGGGTGTTCTGGCCGGCATTCCGGAGACGGGCAAGAATGTTGCGCAGGCTCATGGCGGACGGGCTCCAAATAACGAATGGCGCCACGATAGACCTCAAACCTTTACTTGATTAGTCCTGATTAAGGGGAATAATATCCCGTTCCCGGTCCAATCGTTCTGTCACGATTGTCCCATCCCCGACGTCCAGGATCCCCGACCATGTCCCACGATCTCAACGAGGACGCTGATCTTCGTCAAGGTGGTCGAGCAAGGCAGCTTCATTGCCGCTGCCAAATCGCTCGGCCTTCCCAAGACCACGGTCAGCCGCAAAGTGCAGGAACTGGAAACGCGCCTGGGCGCGCGCCTGCTGCACCGGACCACGCGCCGCCTCGGCCTGACCGAAGCCGGTTCGATCTACCACGAGCATTGCCAGCGCATCGCGCGCGAGCTTGAAGAAGCCGAGAGTGCGGTGAGCCAGCTGCAGTCCGGCCCGCGCGGCTGGCTGCGCTTCACCGTGCCCTATTCGATCGGCATCACCTGGATCGCGCCGCTGCTGGGCCAGTTCCATGCGCAGTATCCGGAGATCCGCCTGGACATGCACATGGGCAACGAGAAGCTGGACCTGATTGCCGGCGAAGCGGATCTTGCACTGCGCGTCGGTGCCCTGCCCGACTCCAACCTGGTCGCGCGCAAGCTCGGCAGCCTGCGCACGCAGGTGTTCGCCAGCCCGGCCTACATCGAACGCTATGGCGAGCCGCTGCATCCGGAAGAGCTGCAGTTCCACCGCATCCTGGCGATGCGCAAGCCGTACCACACCGGCAACTCGCCGCGCTTCACCTGGCAGCTGGGCGAGAACGGTGGCGAACTGCGTGACTTCCCGGTCACGCCGTTGATGACTGCCAACGACATGTCCGCACTGAACGGCGCACTGGTGTGCGGCGAAGGCCTGCTGCTGACTGGCGATGTGATGGCCAAACCGTTCGTCGAGTCCGGCATGGTGCGCCGCGTGCTGGCCGGCTGGACCGGCCCGGAGGTGGACTTCAACGCCGTGTTCGCCGGTGGCCGCCTGGTCTCGCCGAAGGTGCGTGCGTTCGTCGACTTCCTGGTCGAGAAGCTCAACTTCGACGCCAACTACATGCTGGCGCAGTGCCCGGGCGCGAAGCTGGCACAGCAGCAGAAGGCGCAGGAAGACGCCGCGCTGGAGAGCAGCGGCAAGCGGATCCTGGAGAAGGTTGCCGCGTCGGCGGCGTGATGCCGTCTGTAGAGTCGAGCCATGCTCGGCTGCGCCTATGTAGAGTCGAGCCATGCTCGACTTCCGGAAAACAGTCGAGCATGGCTCGACTCTACAGTTCGGACAGCACGTGCCCGACCAGCGCACGTAGTTTCGGCTCGGCCTGCCGGCGGCTGGGGTAGTACAGGAAAAAGCCGGCAAACCGCGGGCAATACGCGTCCAGCACGGACACCAGCTCGCCGCGTTGCAGCCACGGCCGCCAGGTCTCTTCCATGCCGATGGCCAGGCCTGCGCCTGCCAAGGCCAGCCTGACCATCACCCCCATGTCGTTGCTGGTGATTTCCGGCTGCACATCGACACTGAACTCGCGGCCCCGCTCTTCGAACTCCCAGCGATAGGGCGCCCTGCCCGGCGCACTGCGCCAACCGATGCAGCGATGGCTGGCCAGTTCCCGTGGGTGCGCCGGAAGCGCATGGGCATCACGATAGCCCGGCGAGCACACCACCAATTGGCGCTGCCGCGCCGATACCGGCACCGCGACCATGTCCTGGGCAATGACCTCGCCCAGACGCACGCCTGCATCGAATCCCGCGCCGACGATATCGAACGCTTCATCGGTCACGGTGATGTCCAGCTGCAACGCCGGATAGCGCGCGGCGAAACCAGCCAGCATCGGGCCGGCCAGGAACGCCTCGGCAATGGAGGACACGGCAAGCCGCAGTTGTCCGGACACGGCGGACTGCCGGCGCACGCTGGCCTCCAGCGCATCGCCCAGTTCCGCCAGCGCAGGGCTGACCGATACCAGCAGTGCCTGCCCGGCATCGGTGAGGCTGACGCTGCGGGTCGTGCGCAGCACCAGGGCTACACCCAGCGACTGCTCCAGCTTGGCGATGGTCTGGCTGACCGCCGAACGGGTCACGCCGAGTTGCTCGGCGGCGGCGGTGAAGCTGCGACAGTCAGCCACCCGCTGGAACACCCCCAGAGCGTTGAGATCGATGGCCATTGGTTAGCAGCTCTGAACAAGGTGATCAGCAGTCGCCACCTTATCGCGACAAGGTCCGCCGTCTACCGTGGCAATGCCGGGCACACCCCGGCACTCCCTACCCTTCAGAGACACCGCCATGACCCCTTCCCGAACCATCCTGATCACCGGCGCCTCCAGCGGCATCGGCGCCGGCATCGCCCGTTCCCTCGCGCAACCCGGGGCACGCCTGGTACTGGGTGCACGCCGCGTGGATCGTCTGCAGGTGCTGGCCGACGAGCTGCGCCAGCAGGGGGCCGAGGTGCTGGTGCATGCCCTGGACGTGACCCGGCGCGCGCAGGTGGAGGCCTTCGCCGAAGCCGCCCGGCAACGCTTCCGCGCAATCGACGTCATCGTCAACAATGCCGGCGTGATGCCACTGTCGCTGATGGGCTCGCTGAAGGTGGAGGAATGGGACCGGATGATCGACGTGAACATCCGTGGCGTGCTGTACGGCATCGCTGCCGTGCTGCCCGGCATGATCGCCCAGCGCAGCGGCCAGATCATCAACATCGCCTCGGTCGGCGCACTGTCGGTGGTGCCGACCGCAGCGGTCTACTGCGCGACCAAGTATGCGGTGCGCGCGATTTCCGACGGCCTGCGGCAGGAGCACCGCGAGCTACGGGTGACCTGCATCCATCCTGGCGTAGTGGAAAGCGAGCTGGCCGACAGCATCACCGATCCGGCCGCCGCCGAGATGATGGTCGGCTACCGCGCGATTGCCCTGCAACCGGATGCGATCGGCCGCGCCGTAAGATTTGCGATCGAACAGCCTGCGGACGTGGACGTGAATGAAATCGTGGTGCGGCCGACGGCGACGGTGTGAGCCGGGCATTCCGCTCTGGTAGAGGTCGAGCTTGCTCGACCGCCTTCTGTAGAGTCGAGCCATGCTCGACTCCATACACGCAGTCGAGCATCGCTCGACTCTACAAAAGCGAAAAAGCACGCGGTCATGCGGTGTGCCGAGCAACGCTCGGCACCCACAAAAATGCCGCCTGCAAGGGCGGCATTTTCGTTCCGGCGGGCAGACTTCCGGTAGATGCCGACCTTGGTCGGCACTGCACGCAAACGCAGCGAACGGGAACGCTATCGGTGTGCCGAGCAAGCTCGGCACCTACGGAAAATGCCGCCTGCAAGGGCGGCATTTTCGTTCCGGCGGGCAGACTTCCGGTAGATGCCGACCTTGGTCGGCACTGCACGCAAACGCAGCGACCGGAAACGCTGTCGGTGTGCCGAGCAAGCTCGGCACCTACGGAAAATGCCGCCTGCAAGGGCGGCATTTTCGTTCCGGCTACGCCGGAACCGTAACGCTACGCGTTACTGCTTGAGCGGAATCACGCGGATCTCGACGCGGCGGTTCTTGGCGCGGCCGGCATCGGTGCTGTTGTCGGCAATCGGGTACGACTTGCCGGCGCCCAGCGTTTCAATGCGCACGCTCTGCACACCCTGGCCGATCAGGTACTGTGCAACCGAGTCGGCACGCTCCTTCGACAGGCGGTTGTTGACCGCGTCACTGCCGATGCTGTCGGTGTGGCCAACCACTTCGATCATGGTCTGGTTGTAGTCGCGCAGGGTACCGGCAACGCCGTTGAGCGAACCATAGAACTGCGGCTTCAGCGTCGCCTTGCCGAAGTCGAAGGTGATGCCGTCCGGCAGGTTCAGCATGATGTTGTCGCCCTGGCGCTGCACATCGATGCCGGTGTTGGCGGTGCGCTCGCGCAGTGCGCGTTCCTGGCGATCCTGGTACTGGCCGACAGCGGCGCCACTGAGTGCGCCGATACCGGCGCCGATCAGCGCGTGCTGGCGGCGCTCGGTGGCGCTGTCGCCGGTCAACAGGCCGGCGGCCACGCCGATGGCGGTACCGATCAGCGCGTTGCGGCCGGTGCGGTTCTGCTGCTCGGTCGGGTTGCCGTACTGGTCACTCTGCACATAGGAGCCGCCGGTGGCGCAGGCCGACAGGACGGCCGCACTCATCAGGGCCAGTGCGACGTTGCGGGTGGTGTTGCGGATCATGGGGTTCTCCTTGGTTTCCGGTCGGCCGGCGGCTTGCGGGCGCAAAGAGAATAAACAGCCCGATGCGATGCCGGAATGATGATGCAGCACGCCGACAGGGCCGCGTTCAGCTATCTGACCAGATCACTCAGCCCGCGCTTTACCCCGCCCCCGACTGGCGGTAAGCAGCCAGAGCGGCATCGCGACCCGCCGCCAGGTCCACCAGAGGCGTGCGCGGATAGCCAGGGGCATGCGCCTCCAGCAGCAGCGGATGCTGCCACGGCGCGAAGCGTGCCTTCAGCGGCAGCGCAGCCAGTTCCGGCACCCAGCGCGTGATGTAGCGCGCCTGCGGATCGAATTTCTCGGCCTGGGTCACCGGATTGAACACACGGAAGTACGGCGCGGCGTCGGCGCCTGTTCCGGCCACCCATTGCCAGCCCATCGTGTTGTTGGCCAGGTCGGCGTCGACCAGGGTGTCCCAGAACCAGCGCGCGCCATGCAACCAGTGCGCACGCAGGTGCTTGCACAGGTAACTGGCCACGATCATCCGCACCCGGTTGTGCATGTAGCCGGTGTGCCACAGCTCGCGTAGGCCGGCGTCGACGATCGGCACGCCGGTGTTGCCACGCTGCCAGTCATGCAGCTGCGCAGCGCTCGGATCTGCCCACGGGAAGCGATCGAAGCGCGGATTGAGGTTGTCGGTTGGCGTCTTCGGGAAGTTGTGCAGCAGGTGATAGGCGAAATCCCGCCAGCCCAGCTGTCGCAGGTAGCCGTCGATATCGGCGTCGGTGCCGGCGCTGCGCAGGCCCTCCAGCGCATGGGCGATGCGCCATGGCGCGATCTCGCCGAAGTGCAGGTGCGGCGACATCCGCGACGTTCCCACGCGATCCGGCAGGTCGCGCTGCTCGCGATAGCCGCGCAACGAACCGTCCTCGAACACGGACAACGCCTCCAGCGCGCCGGCCTCGCCCGGCTGCCAGTGCTCCCAGAAACCGGCATCCCAGTCCAGCGCAGGCGAAAGCCGCAGCTCATCCAGCGCAAGGCTGTCGACCGCGTGCGCTGTCAGTGCCTTCGGTGCGGCCGTCAGCGCCGGCAGGCGCCAATGGCTGAGTACGTTGCGCCAGTACGGAGTGAATACCTTGTACGGTTGGCCTTGCTGGGTCGCGATGTCCCAGGGTTCGAACAGCAGGCTGCCATTGCAGCTCTGCGCATCGATGCCCTGCTCGCGCAGCGTGCGCTTGATCTCCGCGTCGCGCGGTTGGGTAGCCGGTTCGTACTTGCGGTTCCAGTACACCGCCTCGGCGCCGATCTGTTCGACCAGCGCCTGCAGCGTCGCCAGGCTGTCGCCGCGGCGCAGCACCAGCGACGAGCCGCGCGAACGCAGGTCGGCATCCAGCGCCGCCAGCGAACGGTGGCGCCACGCGTCGGAGGCCGCGCCCGGCACCCACTCACCTTCCTCGTGCGGCGCGTGGATGTAGACCGGCACCACCTCGTGGCCCGCCTCCAACGCGGCCTGCAGGGCCGGATTGTCCTGCAGCCGCAGGTCACGACGGAACCATAGCAACGCTACCGACACATGCACCGCCTTCGATATGGAAGGCGCACATGATAGCCAGCGACGGTGAAGGTGATGCGTGGGCGGGGCATCCACGCATCGCGTGGATCTACCGGTTGAAGCGCTGCATCGCCTCGCTGATCAATGCCCGTGCTTCGGCAGCGTTGCCCCAGCCATTGAGCTGCACCGGGTTGCGGCCGGCCGGCAGGTCCTTGTAGACCCGGAAGAAGGCCTCGATGCGCTGCCGTTCGATCTCCGTCAGATCGGCCAGGTCGCGGATGTTGGCGTAGGTCGGGTCGACCTTGTCGGTGGGCACGCCGATGATCTTCTCGTCGTGCTCGCCGCCATCGATCATCTTCAGGTAGCCGATCGGCCGGAAACGCACGATCACCCCCGGATGCAGCGGCTCGCGGGTCAGCACCAGCGCATCCAACGGGTCATTGTCACCGGCCAGGGTACGCGGCATCGAGCCGTAGTTGGCCGGATAGGCGACCGGCATCGACTGGAAGCGGTCCACATGCACCAGCCCATCTTCCTTGATCTCGTACTTGGTGAAGCTGCCGGCAGGGATCTCCACCGCCAGGTTCGCTTCCTGCGGGGCCTGCTTCGGCTGGGCCACCAGGAACGGATGCAGCACGGCATCGGCGGCGGTCACCGCACTGGCCAGCAACAGCAGGGCAGTACCGATGGCAGCAAGGGGAAGGATGCGAGAGGGAGTGGTCATCGGCGTGCGCTCATTCCCAGCACCGGTCGGCGCGACCCTTGGCGGTCTGCGAACGGGGGCAGTCGCGCGGCGTGACGCGGCCGTCGGTCAGTTCCGTTCGCGTCTTGCTGCCCTTGGCGTCACGCTGCAGTTCGAAGGCATCGTAGAGACGGCCTGTCACCGTGCGCGCTTCATAGCGCAGGCGCTGCGGGTCGACGTTCAGGACCTGGAACAACTGGGTGTCCTCGGCCACCGGATCCATCGTCCTGCGTGCTTCGTCGGAAAGGCGGTACTGCTTCGGCCCAGCCACGGTCACCACGTACTGCGGCGTCGCAGCGTGTCCTTCACCCCGGCGGCCGTAGGTGTGATCGTGCCCCTGCAGCACCAGATCGACGTTGTGGCGGCGTACCACCGGCAGCAGCACGTCACGCAACGCGGCGTTCTCGCGGCCTTCGCGCGGCGAGTAGAACGGCTGGTGCAGCAGCACGAGGGTCCACGGCTGCGGATTGCCGGTCAGCACCTTGTCCAGCCACTGCGCCTGCGCCTTGGCCGTACCCAGGTCGAGTGCCGAGGTGCCATCGACCACGGCCACGCGCACGCCCTGCGCATCGAACCAGTAGCTGGTCTGCTGCGCTGCGCTGGCGCCGTTGCCCGGCAACGCGAAGGTCACCGACCAGTGCTTGCCCAGCACGCGGCGCTCCTGCGGGGTGTCCTCGAACTCCTCGAAGTACTCGTGGTTGCCGATTGCCGGCGCCACCAGCGTTTCCTGCGCCAGCCAGCCGGTAGCCGCAAACCATTCGCCCCACTCGCTGTCGTCCATGTTGTCGCCGCCGCTGACCAGATCGCCGGCAAACAGGCTCATGCGCGCCTGCGGTGCCGCCTTCTGCGCAGCACGCACGACCCGGCTGACATGGCTCACGTTCTTGTTCTGGGTGTCACCGAAGTACAGCAGGGTCAGCGGCTGGTCGGCGGCCGCCAGCGTGCGCAGCTGGTTCCACGCGCTCCAGCTGCCATTGCCCTGCACGCGGTAGACGTACTGGGTATCCGGCTGCAGGCCGCCGATGTCGGCACGATGGTGATGCGACAGCCCGTTTTCGGTCTGCAGTGCGCGCGTCGTCGCACGCACCTGACGGATGCCCTCGATGGCCGGCGAATCTGCAGCCAGCGCAATCTCCAGCAGTGGCGCCTGCACGCTGCCATCGGTACGCCAGGCCACGGCGAAAGCGTGGCTGGGATCAGCCGACGGCGAGGCGACGATGCGGTCCGGCACCGTCGTCGCTGCGTAGTGGTGGCTGCCCGCCGGTACCTGGGTATTCGGCTCGGCCGCCGCGAACGACAGCGACGGCAGCGCCAGCAGCAGGCCCAGCGCCAGCGCGCGCATCACGCACTGCCGGCTCATGCGCCACACTCCAGCGGCAGCGCGAGCTGCTTGGCGATGCTCTCCCAGTCGAACGCCACCACGCCCTGGTCGTCATGCACCGCATACAGCGCACCGTGCGGGAACCGCGCGCTGGGCTGCTGCATCATCCAGATGCCATCGGTGTTGGCCACGGTGTTGCCCTGGAACGCACCCACCGGCTTCAGCGTGTGACGATCGAACAGGTGGAACACGCTGCGCTGCTTGCCCTGCTCGGTGGTGATCCACCAGCCGTCCTTGCCACAGGTGCGCAGGGTCACGCCTTCGGCCTGTGCCTTGAACACGTCGCGGCCGAAGGTAGTGCCGGTGAAGCGGCCGGCCAGGGTGTAGACCTTGAACTCGCTGGCGTAGCTTTCGTCCTCTTCGGCAATCAGCAGGCGATCGTTTTCGGGGTCGCCCCAGATCGATTCGACAACGCGCAGCGCACCGGCCTCGGTGGTATCACCGATGCTCGCCACCAGCGTCGCTTCGACCTTCGCACCGTCGCGGGTCACGTGGTACTGGCGCACGCGCTTGTCCAGTTCAGCCAGCGGCGGCAGGATGTCGCGCCCCTGCGCATCCTCGCCGTTGTCCCAGGAGTCGGTGACGTAGACGCTGTAGCCATCGGCCCGGCGGTCGACCCACAGGCCGTACGGCTTGCGCAGGTCGTCCGCAGCGAACGTCGCCAGCGGGGTGAAGTCCGGCAGGCCCAGCACCTGCACGCGGTGATTGTCGCGCTCCACGATCCACAGCAGGTCGTCGGTCACCGCGATGCCGTTTGGGCGGTCGAACTGCGCCGGCGCGGTACCGCTGCTGCCAACGTCACGCAGATGCTGGCCGGTGCTGCCGTCGTAGACCACCAGCTTGTCGGTGGCCTTGGCGGTGGCGATCAGCCACAGCGTGCCGTCAGGGGCACGCCAGGCCGCCGGCGAATCGATGTTGTCGGCCGGCGTCATCGGCGAAAGGAACGCCTCGGCGATGGTGGCCACCGCACGCTCACGGGTGGCCTTCGCTGCCGTCGCGGCTGCCGCCGGATCATTGCCCGTGGCCGGCGTACAGCCGGCCGCCAGGCTGGCCACCAGTGCGGCGGCCAGGACGGTGATGCCACGCCCCATCACAGTGCCACCTTCAGGCCCAGCGCGTAGGTGCGGCCGTACTCTTCCATCTGCAGGGTGCGCGAGCGCGTGCCCTGGTACAGCTCAAGCGGCTTGTCCAGCAGGTTCTGCGCTTCGAAATACATGCTCACGCGCGAGGTGAACTTGTAGTCCAGCGAGAAGTCGAGCTGGGTGTTGGGCGCCACGTAGATGTCGAACGCGCGTCCCTTGCCGATGCTGTCCAGGTACTCGCTGCGGTACACCGCCGCCAGCCGCGTGCTCAGGCCGTACTTCTCATAGCCGACGTGCGCGCTGTAGACGTGCTTGGAGGCGCGCGGCAGGGTGAAGTCTTCGCCCGCACGATCCTTGATGCCGGCATCGAACGTGGTGTCGAGCCAGGTGCCACTGGCACCGACCAGCAGCCCGTCCAGGCCGGCCGACAGGAACGCCAGCTGCTGCTGCCAGTTGAACTCCGCACCGCGCACGGTGGCCTTGCGGCCGTTGATCGGCTGGGTCACGTCGAAGCCGCCATAGTCCGGGTCATTGGTGCGCACGGTTTCCACGATGTAACCGTCGATCGACTTGTGGAACAGGCCCAGCGACACGATGCCGGTGCTGCCGATGTACTTCTCGACGGACAGATCGATGTTCTTCGATTCGTACGGATCCAGCTCCGGATTGCCCAGCCGTACTTCCTCGTCGCCGCGGCTGTAGCCCACGCGCGGCGAAATGTCACCGAACGACGGGCGCGAGACGGTCTTGTTGGCCGAAGCGCGCAGCACCCAGTCGTCTGCGACGTCGTAGCGCAGGTGCAGGCCCGGCAGCACGTTGGTGTAGCTGCTGTTGGCCACGCGCGGGGTGACGGTGAAGCTGCGGCCGTTGGCCGCCACGTCCACCTGGTTGCCGGTGGCCTTGAACTGGGTGTTTTCCACGCGCACGCCGCCGATGATGCGCAGTGCGCCGATGTCCCAGGTACCCATCGCGTAGCTGGCGAAGATGTCCTCGCTGGCCACGTAGTCTTCTTCCAGCGAGGTCATTGCGTTGCCGCCAAGGTCCTGCGGCCGCGCACTGTACTGGCTGCCATTGGCCGCCCAGAACGCGCGCATCGCGGCCGAATCCATACCGTCACCCATGTTGCCGTGGCGATGCTCCGGCGAGGAGGTGGTCCAGCTCGACAGCGCCACCTTCGGGCCGACGCGCAGCTCGCTCTCATCAACGTTGACGTCGCGGTCGCGCCAGCGGCCCAGCAGGCCGATCTTGATGCTGCCGCTGTCGCCGTCGAAGCGCACGTTGACCTGCGCGCTGTGTTCCTTGTCATTGACCTGCTTGGGCGAGAGCACGAAGCGGTCGAACGCGTAGTTGCCGTTGTCCAGCCACTGCGGGTTGTCGAAACTGTAGCTGGGCAGTCGACTGCGCTGGTCCAGGGTGCCGTTGAACGGCGCGCCGTTGAGCTTGAAGCGGGCCTCCATCTCGTCGTTCACGCGCTCTTCGGTGCGGGTGTAGCCCACCTTGTAATCGACCACGGCATTGGTCAGCTTGTTCTCGCCGCCCAGGCTTGCCGCAAAGGTGTTTTCCTTCTTGGTGCGGTAGCGCATGCGCTTGTCGATCGAATCCTTCGGCATGCCATCCAGGCGGTACTGGTCGGTGCCGGTCTTGACCATCTTCGCGTCGTCGAAGTTGAAGATCACCCGCTGGCGGGTTTCGGCATCGTCGAACTGGCTGTACAGCGTGCGCAGGTAGTACTTGCTGTCTTCGTTCGGGCGCCAGTCGAGGTTGAGGTTGGCTCCGATGCGCTTGCGTTCGATCTCGTACTTGCGGTGCTGCAGGTTGATCGCGGTGACGTCGCCAGGTGCGGCATCGTCCTCGCCGTCGTATTCCACTTCGGTGTTGTCCGACTCGAACTTGCG